GGGAGAGGGGGGCACCTTTGAACACTTTTTGCTTTCAAGCCTTATAAAATTTTTTATTTTATCATTTTTGGTTTCTTATAAATTTTAACTAATAGGTACATATGTAACCTTTAAAATGAATACACATATGACATACTATAAGCTTGATAAATATATTTTATTACTATTTTAATGGACGAACTCAAAGTGTTCAAAACTGCCCCCCCCCCCCCCCAGGGGGGCACCTTTGAACAGGGGTTGGCATTTTTGAACGACATGGTTTTTACAGTGTTTATGTTCAAATATGTATGTATTTTATTCATAAATATCAGAAATGCATTAATTCATTAAAAAATATATAAAAAATGTTCAAAATTTAAAAAATATAGATCAAAAGTTATTAAAACATAAAATGACTTAAAAATACAAATTAATATGGTGAAAAATACAGTTAATTTCGTAATCTTATTAGCCCATTTGAAATTTTGAAAAATCGAAGCCAAAAGTTAAAAACTCCTTTTTTTACTCGAGTTTATTGGGCATGTTCAAAAATAACTTTTTTTGTAATAAATATATATGAAAGAAATTACATTAGTTATGTTTGAAATGATTGTTGGAATGCAAAAAATTTGTTTGGCGAAAGAAAACTATCACAGACTTCTTCCTGCGCCCTTACAACCAAATGAATAAAAGTTTACAATGACACTGAGAAAACATGGTCACCCATGCACAATTTTTCGACAACTGAAAAAGCAAGCCAAAGTGGTTTACGCATATAGAGAACAAGATTGCAATATACAAAAATGTGGTTGCGGGTCGGAAAAATATTAAACCAAGATTTTATGAGCGCTGTTCAAAGGTGCCCCCCTCTCCCCTACTAATTGTTTTAGTACTTTTCATACAGATAAGTACACATTTCCAAACCTACCTACAGATCCCATCCTACACTCTGATCAAAGACATAGAAACCGTAAAGACTCGACAAAATGCATTTTGACAAAATAGTTTATGAAAAAATATCCAGGGTGAATCAGGCATAACAGAGGCATGTTAACAATAAAAACGCAAATACGCGATAATGTGTGCATAAAATATAAATAAAATCAGAGATCTGAACTCAAAAAATCTGTTTTTATTTTGTAAGCTTGCGATATAGCGTTTAAAACGTTTAATATTGTTTGCTCTGTTGTTATGATATCGTAACAACAGAGGAAAAGTCATCTATTGGAAATTGTTGACGTATCGATTGTCCTATCTTTATACTTTTATGTCTTTGCTCTGATAACGTTACAACGTTACCTAAAATTCAACGAAACGTACAATAATATTCAACCTCCCCACTATGGCAAAATGTTTTGTACGGCCGTATTACCCAAATACGTCGAATGCATTTCTCTTAGCGAACTAAACAAAATCGCGAAATAAAATTAAGATATTATAAAATGTGTTCAAATATTTCATATTTTTATTAAAAAAAAATATATTTCTTTATGTTTTGTTTCTTTTTTAAACAAAAGAAAAAAACAAAACTACGTTCTGTCATAGTTGAATTTTTTCAACTTTGAAAATTTGTACGTCGACGTATTTCGGTACCATTCATATAAATACATGTGTTCCAAGGCGTATTTAATAAGGTGTAAGTGACAATCATATGGTTTCAAACTTTTTTCTTTATTGTTTGTAAAGTAAATTGTCAAAAAAATTTTCAGTATTACATTTCGATTTAAAAAAATGGTGTTAAAATGTAGTATTTTTTAATAATAAAAATCAAAGAAAATACATTCAGAGGCGAACGGAAAGGAAACGTATGCTTAAATCAGTTGTAACCCCGTTCGCCGATTGGTCCACATATTTTATGTTATGTGTGGAAATCTGTCCATAAATCTTGACAAAAAATAAATTACTAATTGTTTTTTATTAGTTTTGTCAAAAACTTATTGTCAGCATGACAATTTAATTTCTATAACAACAATGTTGTTTTTGTAAAATATTTGTTGTTGTTGTAGAAGCCCTATTGCTTTTTCACAATGGGCTGAGGTGACAGACGTTGGCCGAGTAAGACTCGGGTCGTTTCGGATCGTAGACCCCTCTGTCGTGGAAACGTTGTTGTGGTATCTGATGCATACACCTTGATGTGTTCTACTTTTGTGGTGAAAAACGTCGAACGAGCTAGTTGAATTTTAGGTAAGGCTGTTAATTGCAAATTTCAGGATTATAAATCCCTCCATCCCTTCAAATTCAATTGTATCAAATTTAGTGTACATGAGTACACCATTCCATAACCACCTTCTTACATCGATTCGCATTCCAAATACCAAGCTTATAGCTCTATCCGTTCACATGCTACGAAATTGTACCAAATTTAGTTCATTTTAGTACTTTTTGGATACTTATGTTTCGAATTTCCAAAAACACTCTTTAGTACATCTATCATACACTTCATTAGTGATCCTCATTTCAAATTTAAGTGTTATAACTCCACTAATTCGCCAAATACAAATGGTACAATATTGAGTACTTTTTGCACTTTTCATGCCGTAATTTCACGTAAATTGAAATAGTTTCTGTAATTTTTTAATAATTTCGTCATTCTAACTATAATTCTATTGTTATTTTTTAAATTTTTTTATTCGCAACATAAAATGTATGTATGAAAGGCTCTGCAATATAATTAATTTGTTGATTGATTTAAGGGGAAGATTTGGTAACCCTACCTTCTTCGGCCTTACTTCAAATCAGCTGTTTGTTTCAAGCGTGAAGAAAATGCAACACAAACCTTGTATCTATTTAAAATTTGTTTTTAATGGCATTTTCATAGTCATTCCAATTACACGCAATAATAATAGCAAAAAATAATAATAGCAAATAAATAATTAATAGCAAAAATAATAATAATTTACGTCGATCAGATCATGTTTCAGCTTATGCGGCTGAATTTCTAGGAGTACCGTTTTCTGTTTTCGTAAAGAAAAGAGTTATTTCATTTCTATATAAATCTGTCACTTTAGATCTTCCCGGTGTCCTGCGTGATCGACTTGTTTTCTCTAGATCTACCAGGAACACTCAGTTAATTTTCCCGCGCTATTCCACTTGTTTATATGAAAGATCTTTTATTATTCGTTCGTCACGTTTGTGGAATCAACTTCCTGTTGAACTACGACATTTTTCTTTTTCGCGCAGTGTATTTCAACGCAAGTTTGAAGATTTTGCTGTTAATTACATGCTGGACTAATGTATTTTTTAATTTGTTTGGTAGATGCGACTTTATTCAGTTCTTTTGCTTAGATATTACCAACAATAGTCTTTACTGCTTTATTTTTACATGGCTGGGGAGCCTTTTCTGCTTTGTAGTTTGTTAATTAAAATCCATATATTATGTTAGTATATGAACTGTTTAGTTTTTAAATGAATTTAAATATGCTTTAAAGTTTGTTACTTAGAATTCATAATTTATATTAAGAAATATAATGTATAGCTATAAGATACGTTTTATAATGTGAAGTACACTTTTGTAGTTTTGGCATGTTGCGATATTTATTGGTCAGATGGCCTTTTCGTGGCAATAAAATAAATAAATAAAAAATAAATAACATATTAATCTGTAATCATGTGCCATTAAAAAAATGTATATATTCTTTCATCATGGCATAATTACACAAGGTAGTCTCATTTGAGAATTTTTGATGGTAACCCTTTTTAATATGGAATTCATATCATGGTATAATAATAGAAGGTAACAGCAAGTGTTGTTGTACAACAAACGATACAACAACCAAATGGCGTTTCCACGACAGAGGGGTCTACGATCCGAAACGACCCGAGTCTTACTCGGCCAACGTCTGTCACCTCAGCCCATTGTGTAAAAAAAAGCAATAGGGCTGCTACAACAACAACCACATGGAAATTTGTTGTTGTAAGTTATACTAGTGTCAACGTCATTTGACAGAAAAATGTAAAAAAATAAACAAATTATATTTATTTTGAAAATGTAATATCCTCGAAAGAAAATTTGAAAAACATGAATGAAAATCTATCAAATTTATATTTCTATCGCTTCCACAACTTTCGTATAATTGAGCCCTTCCCATTTATATGTGAAACACATATGAAAATGCTGGGAATTGCGAGTTATTCCATGAAGAAAGATTTGCTTCCTCAAACTTTCCCAGCAGGCAGATTGAGTAAATTGAAAACGGGTGATTATTAAAAACATAATTTGTCAAATTCATATTGACACTAGTATTACGTTGGAATCAAATCAGCTGGGATTTGTTGTTACCTTTTATAATCGTACCATGAATTCATATATAAATAACTAATAAAATGAAAAATATATTTCATAAAATTTTATGTATGTCGATTGGCATATTTTGAATAAATGAAACAAAATATATTTTCTAAAGTTGAACATTGCTCTCAAGATGATATGCGTACATTTCGAAGGAAGATATTTTCATTTTAATTTTCAAAGCTGAATACTGTCAAAGGTAAATTTATGAAAAAAAAAAAAATGAAACATATTACTGCACGAGACTACCTTGTATAATTATGCCATGTTCTTTTATATTTATATAATTTATCTGGCACCTACGGACTAAGGGTGACCCTCACCATGGGCGTTGATTAATAGTATAGATTCGTAATATTTTTATTGGCGTTATCCTTGACCTACTTTACTTCCCTCTACATCTTAATTTTTTTACACATGAATTATCATCAAAACATTTACATGTCTGAAATAAATTAACTTTTATGATACACACAAAAAATGGTATGTTCCCGTACTGCAAGAATCTACTAATTTTTACTACGATAACACTTTATTCCTTTATGATATCGAACAAAATAGTAAAAACTTGTAGATTCTTACAGTAAGGGAGCATAGCAAAAATATTGGTAAGGGCTCATTTACGTAAAACATGTTTTTCGTCATTTATTTGGCATATATAAAAAATAAATGACAACTTAATCGACGATTAAAGGATAATTTATCATAAAAAAGGTTCGAATAAACAAGTTGTTTACCCAAAATCAAAACATTTATACATACCAAGATCAGGTGGAAGATTCGGAAATTCATATATATGTTCACAGCTATTTTTCGAATAGGGTATACAGTAGCCAAACTCAAAATCAAATGTCTTCAATAAGCGGTCACGGAAAAAATGTCTTTCGATCATTCTAAAATTATTAACTGGTCGGCTTCCAACAGTGAACTCCACACTATAAACGTATTGAAATATTATTTTTTAAATTTGAATATTTTACATTGAACAACGAATACATACGTAGCACCCACTGTTATTAAATTTAAAAATGCTGGCGTAAATTGGTATCGTACATATCTTCCAGCGTTTGGATCGGCAGTTTCTTCTATCGACAGTTCCTCAGTGGCACTCATTAAGCTGTCCAAATTCCCATCCGATGTAGACTGCTCACTCGGTGGCTTTGCTATTTCAAATAGTACAGCACCACTTTCTAGATCTCTAATTTTGAAACGGGTAAAGTCTATCTCGTACACATTTGCACTTGGTGAGCACAAATAGTCCTCGCTGATTTTATTAAGTCTTAGAACATCATCGGGGGTTATTGTACACAATATTTTCTCATTGTCAACAGGAGTTGCGATATTGCTTGACTGTAAGGAATTTAATTGCTTCCCAACAATACTCATTATTCTGCAAACAAGTTGTAAATTTATCTACTAATGGTATTTAGTTTATATTAAAAAAAATCTTGAATTTTTCGAAAAAAAAAAATATTTGCGCATGTCCATTAGGGATACGTGATTCGACTTTCCACTAATCGATTTATCGACTAAATGTCGACTTCAAGGTCTATTAAGCGGTGTACACACTAGCACTTTTGAGTGGCAGCTTTATCTTTTACTGATTGGCCAATAAACATGAATATTTTTATGATTGCCTGATGAACAGTTTTTCACTTATGATGTCGAAGAAAATAGTTAAATCTAGTAGATTCGTGCAGTACAGGAACACACCAATATACCGAATATGTGACAGATGTATGTGATGTTTTGAAAAATACTATTATATCTACTATTTTTTTACAACGATAACAATTTTTCCTTTATGGTATGGAAGAAAATAGTAAAATCTATTACGGGGAACAGACCAATAGAAAAAAATATTCTAAAATCCATATGTTTAAAGCATGGTGCAATTATACAAGGTAACTGGAACTCGTGTCAATTTGAATTTGAAAAATTATGTTCTTAAATGTAGCCTAGCAGGAAAATCGAGTACACATTGATTTCGAATTCCGTATTCAACTTAATCCATTTGCCTACTGGGAAAGTTTGAAGCACTAAATCTGTTTTCATAAAAAAATTACCGATTTCTAGCATTTTCATATGTGTTACACATACAACTGGAAATGACTTAAGGGACTTTTCTTTAATTCCATACAACAACAACAAAATTTTTTTAATTATTTTTCTTTAAATATATATCTGCAAAATATATTATATATAAAAATATATTTATATAACATCAGTTATTTCTCAAGTTAACTGACATTTTGAAGTCTTCATGTATTTTGATTTGATGGAACAAGCCACCTTGAAAAAAAATTGTAATCAGTTGGTAGCTGTGCCCTACCTTGTAATAATTATACCATGGTTCTTGTCTCGATTATCTGTCAAAATTTTCCATATAATATTTAACATGGTTGGCAACATTGCACATCGAATGCATGTAGAAATTATCCACTTTGACAGTTAATCGAGACATCAGCTTCGCTAAATGGACTACCTATTTATTGTGCTATGGCTGTGTCTATTTACTCGATATTTGGTAAAGCTGCTGTTACAAAATACGTTATTTACATATGCAACATGAACTCGTTGTGTGAAACATATGTAAACTTCAATGTGTTTAAACGATATGTACGGGCATGGTACAATTATACAAGGTAGGGTAGCTTATGGACAATAATGTAAGAATAAGAATAAATGAAAACAAATGCAAGAAGTCGTTTTGTTCGTTTGACATATTTTTAACATTTTACCAAAAACGTTTCAATATCAAGTGAGGGATATGATTTACATGTTGATTATTTCACAAATCACACATTTTTTCTTGAAAATGTTTTAAAATTCATCTACAAAAAAAAAAAAAAAAAACGATTTTCGAATATATTTTGTTATATTTTTCAAAACATTACACACACAGTCACACATTTTGTATATGAGGTTGGTATCACAATGTATATCAAAATCATTAATGTATATCAAAATGCGGATAATCTCAAAATTTTTTTAAAAAAGTCGTATCGCCAGCTTTGTTTTACTACATGATTTTAACATTTTAGTTGTGTGGTGTGAGAAGATAAGCTTGAGTTGAACATTTCAAAATGATCCTATGTTTCATTTTACAGGTGTTTATACCCAATGCAATCAACAGTTAAGATTGGAAATAATATTCATAAAAAGTAAATCTTGGATGCTAATGCTATCTGAGATTTAGGTGTAATTTTTGATACGTCTTTTGTTCCGCATTTGAACCACATAATTTCTGAAGCCTACAATGTACTTGCTTTCTGTGTAATCTCAAAGATCAAGTCTCTGAAAAGATTTCTACAAATGCGCAGGTTCCCGCTCAAACCTTACAATGGAATCATTTTTATCGGTCCTTACAAACAAAAGGAAACCTTCCGCTGCAGCATCACGGCATCACCTATGAAATGCTACACTATCAATTTCTGCAAAGTCAAATCTTTTTTAAACTATTAACACTTTATGGATAAAAATTGAAATTAGAGATAGCGAAAATTTGTTCCAATATCAAAAAAGTCAAAGACCTGGAAATCCTCACAAATTTTAGACCGATAGCCCTCATACCAGTTCCTTTCAAAATTACTAATTTGATGGTAAAAGAACTCTTGCACAATTATAAAACAAAATGCATCATTGTGTCATTGGTTGTTGAGAAAGTCTAGAATAGAAATGCTAAAAAAATTCTATGTGAAATCAACTGTACAGAAGAAATAACTGATTGCGTTATGAACCTTCTGAGCCGAAGAATACTAGTTATGGGAGAAGAATCAATTGAAATCTACAATGCAGCTGCCTAAGTCCTCTTCTTTTTAATATTTGCACTCTCGGCCTATTTCAATTTGGGGATGATTTTGTACTTTTATCAGCTCAAAAGGACTTTGAGTCTGCTAATAAATGTCTACAAAAAAGCTACTGAAAGACACATTAAAAATAGCCCTTTTCCTCCTGCAACACGACAATAAACTCACTAAAAATTAATCACGGGGAAATTTGGGCTGGCCGGTTTGTTGCTGTGAACCTCGAAAATATTTCAGTTGTGGAAACATTTTCCTCTTTATTTAGTTTTTCATATTGAAAAGACCGCTTACCAAGGACAACTGTAATGGTTGATGCCCAGTTGAAATGAAAATCGATAAATAATATGCAGTGAGAGCACATAAAGTTCACTTTCTAGTGCGAAAAGTATAACTTAATTTGAAAGCTATCAGGGGTGGGAAATTAGGCTTGAACAACAGTATACTCCCTAATATTTCAATAAACCAAGTGAAATCGCTAGTTTTTTCTAAAATAAAGTAATGATTTTCTTCAATGACACATATGCGAAAGTATTTAAACAAAAAACTCTTTCCTTTTCAAAATCAAATACTGTGCACACAACGTTGCCAATATTAAGTTTCTTTTTAAGAAACTTGAAAATGAGGAAGTTTATTTTAGTTCCGTTCCAGAACCTAAAATAATCTACTCATTTTACATGTTATGCAACTTTTTACTGGAAACCGTTCCTCAACCCACAAAACTGGTAAAACATTGACTCAAATTTAAGAGAGCACAAAACAAAATGGCGTTCTCTTTGAAAACTTTTTACTCGAGAAATTTGGTCGAGTAAAAATGGTAAACAGGAATGCCTACTTCTGATTGGCTGTTATGTGGATTTTGAAGTATTGCCATCTAATTTTGGCATAATTACTAGATTTGCGTTACCGAACTTTTCAAATTATTTTGAAATGTTTCCCTTTTACTAGATTTACTATTAAAAAAGTACTGGAACAGACCATTTATTGTTGGCTCGGGGAATTTCCTGATGATGAAATTTGATATTTGGTGGGTTCCACTAGATATTTTCCTTTTTAACTTGCCAATTATGTTTTTCATCTTTTCAGGTGAAGTGAAATTGTATGATTCTGGATTTCCAACAGTCTTGAATGTTTCTTCAAATGAGTATTTGCGAGGAGATGTTAAACTTACAAATGCTGGTGAAATTGGTATAGATTCCTCACAAATTGATGAATAAAAGATTAGAAAGTTCTTTGGAATTCTGGCCAGTTTGTAATATTATCATTGCCAGTCTGAATTTGTTTGCAGAATGTGAATTCATTTCTTTTTGTGAATTTTAATATTTCCTTGAAGGCGGACGGAATCGGCTTGATTTTTTTTTTCAATTTGTTAAGTATTTCTAATGTTTCAACATTTATAAGCTCCTTGATAATTATCTTTCAAATCTGTATATGCTTGGAAAATATGGAATATTCACGAATCATTCTGTTACCTGAACGGTAGAAATTTGTATTTTAATTTTTGCCACTGGTTTTTATTTTGAACCCATCCTGTAGTTCAATTTTTTGTGAGTGCAAAGCATTAATTTGAGATATTACATTATTAAAATGGATTTCGGCATTCCTCAGATTTCAGTACATCGATGACATGACTTGACGAAAAATTACATCTCTATCTCGCCTAAAGTTCTCCCTGTTAGTCATTTTGTATGATGTGAGGTGAAATTGGGGAGAGTTTAATGTGATATTTAGATTTCCAAATTTCATCTCTAATATTAGTGGAAAACTATTCGAAAATATAGATATGGTGAAATGGAGTAGGTTGGATTTAAAATATCGACTTGGGAAGTTACCAAAATATGGTCCTAAGTCTCCGCCAATAATGAAACCGTTGTAATTACAGTATTTTCCGGTTAATTGCACATCAAAATTTGCACAAATTTTTGTTCAATTTTTCCGAACCCGCTTACTATGAAATTAAATATTTTTGACCCATCATGTGGTTCAATTAAGCGTGGAAACCAATTAACCGTAGGGTCAATTAACCGAAAAATACTGTATTGCATAATTGAATTATTTTATTCAGGTCTAATTCAAGAGTTTCTGCGGGATGACGACATAGGATGTACGCAGATCCAACTAAATAGCTTTCAGAAGCACCATTGGAACGCATTTCTATTTTGAGGAATTATATATCTGTTGAAATACGTTCAAATTTAATATATTTTTAGATGCTTTATTTACATTTTTTAAGCTAAGGTCACTACGCAAATATTTGACTCACAAAGGTTTTATTTTGTTTGCCAAAAAAATGTGAAATTTGAACACTCTTGATTTCGAGTTCACATTACACTCAAATATTTGAAAAATTTTGTTTGTTCAAACAGAAGGCAAATACATATTGTCAAATGACATCATGAGAAACATATTTGACGTGTGGTCACATTTGAAAATATATTTGCACCAAAAAAGGTTTGATCAAACTACCAGAAAACATAAATTTATTTTGACCAACTTCGATTATTTTTTTATTAATGTTGTGTATTTTATTTTCAGTTTGAAAACAAGCGTTTATGTTTTGTACGAGGATATTTTCAATACATC